GAGGATGATAAAAAGCGTGAGAATTGGAAGAACAATTTCAGATACAGCGTTAGAAACCCATATGTTAAAACCGATGAAGATTTGAATTTATTAACTGATAAGGGTATTTATCCCTATGACTACTTTGATGATTTTGAAAGATTTAAGGAAAGGGCTTTACCACCGAAAGAAGCGTTTTACAGTGAATTAAGTGAGGAACATGTAAGTGATAAAGATTATGAAAGGGCACTGAAAGTATGGAAGCACTTCGGGATTAGAACACTCGGGCAGTATCACGACCTGTATTTAAGAACTGATGTTTTACTACTGACCGATGTATTTGAAAACTTTAGGGACTTGTGTATGGAATACTACGGTTTAGACCCCGCTCATTATTATACGTTGCCAAATTTCGCATGGGACGCGATGCTTCTAAAAACTGGTGTTGAAATAGATCAATTGCATGACCAAGAAATGTTTGAGATGGTTGAAAAGGGAATGAGAGGTGGTATGTGTCAGGTTAGTCATAAATTAGCGGTGGCAAATAATAAGTATATGGGAGAAGCATATGATGAGAACAAGCCATCAAATTATATTAGCTACTTGGATGCTAATAACTTGTATGGTTTAGCAATGTCCCAGAAATTACCGCTAAAAAATATCAAGTGGGCAAAGAAAACGCCCAGTGTTGAAACATGGAATGAAAACGATGAGTTCGGTTATATTATGGAAGTTGATTTGGAATATCCCGAAACATTGCACGACTTCCACTCTGACTATCCACTCGCGCCTGAAATAATGAATGTAAATGTTAGTATGCTTTCCGATTATCAAAAGCAAGTCTACAAAATATATTATGATGGTAAAAGTCCCAAGGACGAGAAAACAAGTAAGTTAATATTAAATCTAAAGGATAAAGAAAAATATGTGGTTCATATTAAGACTTTACAGTATTATTTGAAAATGGGATTGAAAATGACCAAAGTCCATAGGATAATAAAATTTCAACAGAGGGCATGGTTGAAACCGTGGATTGACTTCAACACTGGTAAAAGGAAAGAAGCCAAAAGCGATTTTGAGAAAGATTTATTCAAATTAATGAATAATTCTGTGTATGGAAAAACTATGGAAGACAAACGAAATCATATGGACTTTGAATTAGTTGATAATGAAGTTAGATACGGAAAATGTGTTAATAATCCAACATTCAAAAATAGATTTATTATTAATGAAAACCTTGTAGGAGTTGAAAAAACTAAAGCGAAACTGAAACTGGACAAACCGATTTTCTTAGGAATGACAATCCTTGACATCAGTAAATTACATATGTATCAGTTCTACTATGATGTTCTTAAGAAGAAATACAATGAAAACATCAAACTGGTTTATACTGATACTGACAGTTATGTAATTCAAACATTCACTGAGGACATCTACAAGGACTTCAAAGAATTAAACCAATATATGGACTTTAGCGATTATCCACCTGAACACCCCTGCCATGACAAAACAAATAAGAAAAAACTCGGTTATTTCAAGGATGAGTGCAACGGTCAAACAATAACACAATTCATAGGGTTAAAGCCTAAATCGTATGCTTTTACAATACACGGTGAAGAAGAAGAACAAAAGAAATCAAAAGGTGTAGTGAAACACAAGGTGAAGAAAGAACTGACTTACCAAAACTACCACGAAGCATTATTTCAAAACAAAAAGCATGAAATAACATATAATTTTATTCGTAGTCGCAACCATCAATTATTTTCAATGTCTCAAGTCAAGCAATCACTCAGTAATTATGAAAATAAAAGGTTTTACATTGATGCTTTCAATTCACTGCCTTATGGACATTATAAACTGCGTTAAAGAAAAGATAACTAAGGTTATTAATGGATAGCAGTAAATATAAAAACGCAAAGATTTACAAAATAACATATGTTGGTTATAATAAGTGCTACATCGGAAGCACCTGTGAAAGCTTGAGCCAAAGAATGGCAAGACATAGACAAAATTATAACAAGGCAGAACAATGGAATAATAAAACAAACTGTCGTTTGTTGTTTGATGAATATGGAATGGACAACTGTAAGATTGAATTATTAGAAGACTACCCATGTGAAAACAGAGAACAGTTAATGAAAAGAGAAGGTTATTACATTCAAAATAATGATTGTGTGAATAGATGTGTGGCAGGTAGAACAATTAATGAGTGGAAGGAAGACAATAAGGAACACTATCAAAATATGAGGAAGGAATACGCAGAAAACAACAAAGAACATATATGTAATAAAAGTAGGGAGCACTACCACCAAAACAAAGAAACAATATTGGAAAAACGAAAAGAACCTATTGAATGTGAATGTGGTGGTGTTTTCAGGAAATGTGATATAAGAAGACACGAGAGAACTGAAAAACATCAACGATATGTATGTGAAAATATTAATATCTAAATAGTTCTAATAATATATGCACTTAATAGAACTATTTAGTGGTACTTCTTCAGTTGGTAAAGTAGCAAAGTCGCTCGGTTATAATGTTATATCATTGGATTTGAAAACGGTGGGTAAACTCCCCAATTAAGGGGGGCGAACTCCCCAATTAAGGGGGGCGAACTCCCCAATTAAGGGGGGCGAACTCCCCAATTAAGGGGGGCGAACTCCCCAATTAAGGGGGGCGAACTCCCCAATTAAGGGGGGCGAACTCCCCAAATAAGGGGGGCGAACTCCCCAATTAAGGGGGGCGAACTCCCCAATTAAGGGGGGCGAACTCCCCAATTAAGGGGAGAATGGCTCAAGTAACAAGGTCTGGCTCACACAACACAGTCAGGCTCACACAACACAGTCAGGCACACACAGCAAGGTTTGGCTCACACAGTAAGGTCTGGCTCGCACAGCAAGGTCTGGCTCACACAGACATTTAAATTAAACCTGAAACCCAGACCAGCCGACCAGCAACCCCTAGCCAAAACTACTTAAAGAGAAAAAGCCTTATATATTAAGAGAAAAATGAGTAAGGGTAAAATGTCAGAGAATAATTTTATGGATGAGAATTGCGCTAGCTTACCTGAAGGCTTAGTTTCAATCATCACTACTTACATTAATGGTAGTGAAGGGTGGCGAAGACTGAAACAATGTGATGCTTTAAGAGAATTACAAAGGAAATGGAAACCGTCTATTTACACTGAACGAGTAGGAGAAAGTAGATATTATGTTGAGATTCGCAATAAATGCTTAAAAGGTGATAAAGCGCTTTCATATGCGTTGAAACCACCAAAAGAATTATTAAGAATGATGAAGTATGATGAAGAAATACAGGTTGGAATAGAAGTTAGTTCAAAAATTATGTATCATAATAATATTAGCAACTGTCGTTCTTATTCATCATCTAAACAGAATAAGATTTCAAGTAGAGCGTCATTACAATACCATATTGAACAAGCAGTTGAAGAAACCAAACAGACTATGAAACGACACGAAATCATTACTATCGAACATGTTATAATTGAAATTTATAGAAAACAGAAACAATGATTTCATGGTTTAATCATAATATTTAATTATAATATGATTAAACAGTGTAAACTTTTATAACCTTTCATTATACTGTAATTTCAACCTATAAAACATAACTAGACAATCACCTAAAAATCACATAAAAAGGATTTTGTTAAAGAAATATTAAGAAAGGTTGTGAAGCAAACTATATTGAATAATTATGGAATGAGACATAAGTAAAAAAGCAAACAGAAGACTATGGTGAATTCTTCAAATGCAACAGATGTCTTTATGATAAAACAATTGATGAATTTGGAAATGTAAAAAGTGGAAGAAGATATAAATATTGTCAAGAGTGTAGAACAAAAATAAATAATTGTATAGATAAACGTCAAAGAAACAAACGACCCACCAACACCCCAGAACTTGATAACTACTAAAAGGGCTACCTCTTTCAAATGAAAAAAATGTTTGCCCCTAGCCCAACAATGAACAAGGCGACAATTTACCCAAATGATTACCTTAACGAAAACGATAAATAAGCTCCCTAAAAACCCTCTTTTCAAAACGAATAAGGGGGAACATAGATTTGAGATGAACATAAAAACCAGAACAGGCAACCATCAACAGACTTCCCCCCAGGCCCCCTACTTCTTCTATTTTTTGGGGGATGGGTGGGGGGGGGGATGGGTGGGGGGGGGGATGGGTGTCGGGGGGTTTGGGGGGGTTCTGTCAGGGCTTCCTCAAGGGGAGGCCTCCTTTGAAGCTGGACATGCGGCGGTTTCCTAGTCAAGTACACATATGGGAAACCTGTGTTTGTATGTATTCACAGGCGAATCATCAGACAGCAGGGTTGCTTAGGTGCAAGATTCGTCCATCCACATCGAAGGGGAAAGCTAGCGACTAAGCTTGCCGGTCCTCATTTTTTGGGAATGAACTGGTTCATGAGATCATCTTGGACACCAGTTGGATGCTTCCGTTCAGGGTCATTGCAACTCATTCCTACCGAGAATTGGAGAGTAAGGGGAAGCGTAAGTGGTTGATCCCTGAAGAAATCAGCTCCCCACTTCTGGGGAGGGACCCGTGATTAATTACTGGCGCATTAATCAGGGCTCAACCTGTTTGGTGGCTTTTTTTTATTGGGAGGAATAGATGGCCATTCATGGTTGACCTGGCTTGTATATACATATATACACATATATGTATATATGTATATATATATATATATGTATACATATATGTATTTGTGTATATATATATATATATTCATAGATATATGTGTATGGCCAGGCCATGACACGATCAGCAGAAGCATTGATCAGACTTGGATGCTGATAGAATCCGTTAAGGGGGGGTACACGGGTGGTGCCCTTAAAGAGCCTTGAGGACCCGCCTGGACCAACCCCCCCCCTTTGGGAAATCTCTAACACACAGGACATGTCAAGCGGCGGGGAGATTTCTTTCAAGGATTCGGGAGTGAGCTCTCAAGGCAGTCCCCCTGGTTCGTGGGTATGAATCTAGGCTAGCATGATCGGAGCCTTGGTTCTTTGCTCATATTATGCTATATATTATAGATTCGGTTTTACATGGGTACACATATATATATATATATATATGTACATATATATATATATATATATATATGTATCTACATAACATAGATTCAGATTTTGTTTTAAAGCTTCTTTTGGGGGTGGTGGTGTACCATATGTTTTTCCTCCGGACATATCTCCACCGGCTCCGACCTCTTCAGCGGCTCGGCCGCCCAGGCGGCGGCCAGCTGCTGCGCAACGCCGTGGCCTACGCCGCGGTGCTGCGCCGGGCGGTGAGGATCCAAAACGTGCGCGGCGGGAGGAGCCCTGCGAGCGCGGGTCTGGCGTTGAGCGCTGGGTGCGTAGGTGTCCTGTTTAGTTGTTTTGGTTAAAAAAAGAAGAAGAGAAAAACATCATGATGGCCCGTTCGCGATCGCGGTCTAAAACGCTGGATTGTGCTAGTTGTCTTGTGGTATTCGTGGTAGTTCTGGTGGTCATGGTAGTTGGTTTACCTGGTGGTTTAATCATCCACCAGGGAAATCCATCTATTTCCCCTAAAAGGACACCAATGAGCCTTCTGGGTGGGTCTGGCGTTGGCTTTTTTGGACCCAAATGGGTATGGGTCAAATTTCAAGCACCAGGGGACGGCAGGTTTTGGTCCTTGTTTCCATTTAACAGGGTTCCATTTTGGGTAGTATTTTTGAGCCCACAACGAACACCACCAAACCACCAATCCAAACCACCAATCAGAGGGAAGCTGAAACTTAGTTGATCGGGCAAGCCTTAGTAGGTGATAGAGGGTAAATGGGAAACCACCCCCAAACCTCTTGGAAGTTCAACCAACGTCAGGGCAGCAGGAAACAAACCATGGTTGAAAGGGGACCAGCCCCAGTTGCCTAAGCTAGAGCCATGATCCAAAGACGGAAACTGGATCCAAAGTCGGAGACTGGATCCAAAGTCGGAAACTGGAACACTCCCTCAGAACAAGTCTTCCAAATTGCCCCGCAAATTGGTCCTGCATCCACTATGCTTGCTTGGGACCCTTTGAAGGGGTAAAGCGCACCATGATGTGGGCCCACAAAATCTGGGGTTCGCGCAAAAAACTCAGCTTAAGTAAAGAAATAGCAGAAGAGTGCAAAGGTTGGGGGGACATTCAACCAGAACCTCAAACCAGAAGTGGCCGCCCTTGTCATCTCCGGTATGTGTTGTTTGGGATCAGCTGTGACTCACGGCTGGGACTGAGGGCAGTTTTGTCACCACCTGCACGCACGCCGTGGTTTGATTTGAAGAAAGTTTGCTTTGATGGTTGCGGTTAAGTGGAAAAGCATGAAATCCATGGCTGTCAGAAGCCTGATACCCCTCCTTTGGAGGACACATGCACAATGGCGTTGGACATCCAAGTGGATGTTTCCACAAACCAAATCACTGGGTGAATTGCAGCGACCTCACACGACCCCCCAACCACCTTATTTCAGGTTGGTGAAATATTATAATCCACGCAGTTTGATGGTTGTGGTGAAGTGGAAAGACATGAACTCCATGGCTGACCCCTCCCTTGGAGGTAGTCCAGTGGACACATGCACAATGTCGTTGGACATCCAAGTGGATGTTTCCACAAACCAAAGAAACAACTGGGCGGAATTTCCCGGTTTGTATCAAAATGCTTCTTTGCAGAGATGAAGGGGCGGAAGCAGAAGAAAGGACGCACCTTGCTTCAACGCTCTATTTGACCCCAAGACGTCTCCTAACACCTCATGCTTGCTCTTGATTTCAACACCGCGCTTTACATGGATGATTGAATATCCCCAAACATATCAAGACGATTTTGCCTTCTTTCTCTTCACCCATTTATCTCCCTTGTGCTTTTGTTCCCGCTCCCGACCACGGCAAACAAGTCTTCCAGGGTCCCTAGGGCCTTCTGAGAAGGGTTTCTTGGGGTTCTGAGAATTGGTTCTTAGACGGGGCGCCCAAGCATTGGCCACGTCTTGCATATTATTGGGATTGTAACGTCGGACTTGTGGTCTGACCACTGGTACTGGGGGGATTTGAACCGCATCTTAGGATCGTAAAAGCATGAGTCCTGTTTCCCAGAAAGAATACCCAGTGCAAACCACTCATCTTGGTGGGTACGGTGGATGTTTTTCCATATTGCAAGCTGCCCCTGAATTTACCAGAAACTTACCGTGGCTTTTGGTTTTGCCTGTTTGCTTGCGAATTCCATGTGAGCTGTGGGTTTGTCTTTTTGATTCCCCCCCAAAAAAGAGAGAGAGAGAGAGAGAGAGAGAAAACGAGACAAGTAATCATTAAAATAAAACAAAAACTTCGCAAAACATGCCGCTTTTCCAAACCGCCTTCCTTTAATGCCAGAAACAAGTTGGGCCCCATATGGTATCAACACGGTCTACCCAGAACCATGTAAGGAATCATACAAAAAGGGTCGCGCCCATTTATGCTCGGGATTCTCCCTAACCTTCATCTACTCGGCTTTTGAGCAAGTGGCTCCATGAACCTGTCGCATTCTTTGGTTTCTTTGTGGCCCTTGGTTCAGTTTTCAGAACCTCAAGGCTCTTCGGTTTCCTCCGAATCGGGCCAAACCTCCTCCAAAGGTTTCATTTACTTGTGGCCCTTGTTTGGTTTTGAGGACGTGTGAAGCGGGCGAAACCTATCGATGCATGCGCGATTTAACTCTGGAACTGCTTGAACGCGGTTGTCAGTCATTGAATAGTCTTCGGCCCTTCCAAGGAGCCTGTTGCAATCAGAAAACATGAAACAAGGGCACTGGAAAGGTCAAAAAGGCAAGATGAAGCCTTGCTACTTGAAAACGCCCTCCTACTTCTTTTTGTTGGCCCCCCAAAAAAGACGTGCAACTGGCCCCAGTTTGGGTTCCCCACACCTTCGGGTGCACCACGCGTCGGGTGGGGGCGCATTTTTTGAGGACGCCCCCGGGTCTGCGGCCTGGGCACCTGGCGGCGCTCAACGCCTCGGCCGCCTTCTGCGGCGCGCAGTTGGCCGGCGCCGCCGTGGGCAGCGCCGAGGCGAGGAACACAAGTCCCGCGGGCCTTTTGGAGCTGGGTGCGGCGAAAAACGCCGGGAGCTGCAACGTTTCGTTTTTTTTTCTCCCCCTTTTCCCCTTCTTTTTGTTTGGAAGAACTGCGTTTTCTTTTTGGGCAAATGTTGGAGGCTACAAATTTGGTGAATGTTTTGTGTTTTTGATTGGCTGCAATCTACCTTAAACAAATAGAACCATATAACAAAAAAACACAACACAACAACAATAAATTACAAAGTCTAGTGTGTTTTTGTTTTGTTTTGTTGTCTTTCTTGTTGTTGGGGGGATTTTGTTTTTTAAATTTGCTGGAGCCTACCGTGTTTAGAAAATCATTATTATTACTATTGCTATTATTATTAAGTTTATTATTATTATTATTATGATTCTTATTATTCTTGCTATTGTGATTATTACTTTTGGGTGGGGGGGGGCTTGTCAATTTGTTGGAGCCTACCGCTTTTTCCTCTTTTTTTCTTTTTTTTTTTTTTTTGGGGGGGGGGGGGTGAAGTGTGGTTGGTCTACTTGCTGGAACTTGAGCGAAGAAAGACAGACCCGGATGGGGGGGCAGGTGGCCTTTGACGCGCGTTCCGCGGTGGCCAGAGCAGGCGAGCTGGTGGTGGACGCGGGCACAGGACGCGAGCCAGCGTGAACGCGTCAAAGCGGTTGCTCCGGCGGCATGGACGGCGGACGCCGGACGCAAGTGAAAGCACGAACAACAACAACTTGGTCAGGTAGATGGGGGTTCTCCACCAAGCACAAACAAAAAAAGAACACCTTTGGTCAAGTACAGCTTTTTGTTGATGTTTGGAGAGATTAGAAAAAGATCGCAGCTCCGACTGGGGATGTTGGGAAAACAACTCGCAACTCAATGCGTGGTATCCCCAATGGCCAACCCCAGAGCCTATTCAGCCTTGTCGACCCCACGGCGTTCAGCTGTTGGGGGACAGAGCGGCGATCCGGGGATCGCTCTGCTTGGATTCGAATCCGGGGTACAATCTCTTGCCTTGGCTTGCATCTTGGTGTTCCCTTGTGATGCGCGGCGTCGGATGGATGGTTGTTCCGTGAATTGGGAAATGCTGCCGCAAGATTGGTCTGTGGACGGACTCCGGCAGGTTGCTTCAAGCCATCTGAAAGAAAATCGGATGTTTCACAAGAGTCTTGGCCCAGCTTCTGGCAACCAACAGCACGTGGCTGTGGGTCAAAAGCAATGGTACCATTTTGGGGTAGGTGCACCACCCATTTTAGTCTATTTTAGTGGTTGGATTGGGATGTTCACTGGGGGTACGATTTGGATTTTGACCCATGGCCACGTTTCGGGCGCGCTTTTTGCGCCAGGAGGCTCGACGATGCTGATGCTACAAGCGCTGCTTCCCTCGATGCTGGCGCGCTCTCTGGCGGAAGGCAAGGAGGTGGAGGTCGTCTTCAAAGGCGGCACCAATGTTTGCTCGCCCCCGGGCAAAGGCGGGGCCGCGCGGTGGAAAACCGGCGCCCGAGATCTGGGAGATATTACACGTTCCGTTTCTTTTGTAAGTCTCTGGTTGAGTGCTGAAAGCCGTATCTATAGGTGTCCTTTTGATGGGTTAGTTTGGTTGGAAATCGAAGGGTTCCACTGGTTTACGTGGGCTTTATGCCATCCATGTACCTGGAAATCGGGAAATCCATCTTTTTCTGAGCAAAAGGACATGGCGTATCCACGTATCCACTCGCATGTTCGAGATCCTTTTTGCTCAGTGAGCCTCTGGGGATCCCAAAGCTGGAGTTGACATGGGGTCAACATTACGACCCTTTGGATTTGGTCTCCCGTCAAGGTCACACGGAGCTCAAGCTTTGATTTCCAGGTCTTGGAGCACTTGGGGATGTCTTTCCTTAGGAATCGGAGCCCCGCAGCTGCGTCGAAGCGTAATTAAAAATCCATGAATGAGCCTGACTGCTATGCCTATGATCCTGAAAGGGGCACCTTCGTGGTGGACACGAATGGGCGGCTCGCTTTCGGGTTGCTTTGGTTGTACCCTCCCAATTCAAATATCCTATTACTCCCCTACCAAATTGGCATGGAGCCCACCCCAAAAGGAGATTGCTCCATGTTTAGTATTTGGGTTCCATGTTAAACTCGAGGGGAGTATCACCCCAAAAGGAGATTCCTCTAAACATGCAGGGTATTTGGGTTCCATGTTAAACTGGAGGGGAGTACCCTTTTCCAACCATCACGGAAGTGGACACGTTAGTCTTCCTTCGGTATAAGCTTCCTCTGTTGGAAAGCGGGTAGATGCTGAGTTGTTAGCATGAGTTGAGAAGAAGGAACAACGGGAGGAGCAGACCAACTCCCCATGAGTTTGTCCTGTGGATTGTTTCTCGCGTCGTTTTTTCCAGGCCCCTTCCAGATCAACGCGCCCCAGGTGGATTACACTCGGCTGGTTCTTTTTCCGGTGCTACGCCATCTCTTTGGTGTGCATTTAGAGATGCAGGCCGGTGTGAGGCGAAACCGAATTGCAGACATCCAAACAGGCATATGGGGAAAAGAAAGGGAACACCATTTTGGGGGGTCTCCTATGTTAAGACACTCCCATATATACAAGTATTATTTCCTCTTTCTCTGTCACCTGGTTTCAGTGTATGGGATCATGCGTCGCGATCCCTCTGCGCCAGTTGCCTTCATTGATACAAACACATATCGGGTGTGTCCTTTCTTCGAGGGTACCTTTTTAAAGATGGTTTAGGGGAATTCAAAAAGAGACACCACCCATTTTAAGGGTTCCCTCATTTAAAGGCACACTCATATATATATATATATATATATGTGTATGTATACACATACATTTTTTTAAAGACGGTTTACAAGGGATTTCAATGCAACACCACCCATTTTTAGGGTTCCCTCATGTTAAGACACACCCATATATACATATATATGTATATGTATATGTATATGTATATGTATATGTATATGTATATGTATATGTATATGTACATGTATATGTATATGTATACACAGTCATGCAGTTGTATATCCCACACCTCTGGGTCCCCATAGTTTGTGGATAGGGATTCCGTTTAAAAAAGACAACAACAACAACAACAACAACAAGAAACAACAACAACAAAAAAGTGTTCGGCCTTTTGCTCTCTTCGTGCTTCTGGGTGGGGGTGCCCTCCTAGTTGGAACCAGCCCCCTAAACCAGCCCCCACAAACCCAAGGTGTCTGTTTTAGGATAGTCTGGCTAGAAGTAGACGGGTTCCATTTTTTGTAGATGGGTTTTATGCCTTCCATTTACTAGGGAAAGCCATCTATTTCTGACCAAAACCCCCAAGCCCATCCCCCACCCACAAAACCAACCCCCAAACCCCCCCCCCACCTCCAATCACCCCCCCACCGAAAACCCCCAACAAACCCCCTGCAAAGCCAACACCCCCCAAACCAACCCCAAAACCCCTCAATCCAACCCCCAAACCCGAAAGCAGCTCCCAAACCAACCCCAAACCCGAAAGCAGCTCCCAAAGCAGCTCCCACAGCAACTCCCAAAGCAACCCCCAAAGCAATCCCCAACCCCCCCAAACCAACCCCCAAACCCCTAAACCAAGCCCCCCCAAACCCCTAAACCAACCCCCCCCCCAAAAAAAAACAACACATGCTTCTCCTTGTCTTCCTTTGCACAAGCAAACGCCAAAAGCGCCTCCAAAGGGCCCCCGCCTCTCGCTTTCCAGGTGCGGCACCGTGGCTTCCTGCAGGGCGGGGGGGAGGTCCTGGTGCGCGCCTTCGCGCCCAAGGCGAGCGGTTCCGCCGGAACGGAACGGGGCGGTCGCGCGCTCGCTGCTACGGAGGCGCTCGAGTTTTCGCTCTTTTTTTTTTTTCTTTTTCGGGGGGGTCTTCTTGGGCAGCTTGGGCATGCGCGTTTTCTTTGTTGGGTTGGGGGGGGGGGGGGATTTGCGATTGTTCGGGGAATGTGTTGGAGTTGGAGGGAGTCATGGTAAAGAGATGCTTTACTTGGGGATCCGAGTCCTATTTCGGGTTTTGGACATATTGTGTTTAAAGCAGACAGGGAGCTTTACAAGGGGAGCCCAAAGCATTTTCCTTGGCGTTTCAACCAGCGAATCGTCTGATTTGTGTGATGTTTGGTTAAGTTTGTGTTGGTGTGGTTGGGTTTCCGTTTAAGCCACTAGGGGATCAGTTGGACAGGTTTAAGGCTGTAAGTAAATCAAGCACCCCAAAGCCATGAGAACTTTTTAGGTGACCAAGGGCTTGTCGCCCATGGAAGGCACCAGAGAAAAAGTTCCTTGAGGACATTTTCGTCGCTCAGGACTCGGAGGTTTTGGTTGGCTTGAAGATTGTCAGATTGGTTCAACGTTGTTAGGTGAAGGGCTTTTTGACACCACCGTGGGTGTCTCTCTTTGTGTTGGTGTTGTCCCCCCGTTTTGTAGGGGGACAAGAGGAAAGCCGCCCGTTTTTCTAGGGTTTGATTCCTTGTCCATTCTTTTCAACCATTGTTCTTTCCAAAAACCGGCCGTTTTCCCGCAGTTTTCTATCCCTGGGTTTAGAATGGACATGGAAGCTACCCCTCGAGTTTTTTCTGTTTTTTGGGGGGGAGGGTCCGACCGAACCGCTCCGTTGCCGGTCAGGCGCTGTGCGCCTTCGAGCTGCTGGCGCGGGGCGAGATCTGCGCAGCGCGGGGGGCGGCGTATCGCTCCGCGGGAGTGCCGAAAGACGTGCTGCCGCGGATGCTGGAAGGAGCCCTCTGGGGTCATGGCCGTATTTACATTTTTGCTTGTGGTTTCGTGGTTGAAATCCAACCACTTAACTGCTAGAATATATTGTGTTTTGCTCCCCTTCCAACGTCAAGCAAGGTATGGGGAGCCCGGTTTTTCTGACCTATAAACCAACCTGCTTTTTGGATCCATACACCAAGAGGTAGAAAATGGAGATTCCCTGAGAGCCAGCGGTCGAATGGGGGGCTTGAAGTGGCCGCGTGGGCCGGTAGTCAACAAAAGGAACCCTGCTTGCTCAAGTTCAGCTCCATGGTGGTTAAGAGAGGTTTCCCATTTACCCACAAGGACCCAGGCTTCACATCCCCAAACCACCAATCCAACCCACCAGGTAGTCGCCTGACAAATTGGATAGCCTCAACGCGCGTCCAAGGCTGCAATGTCGCAATGAAGAAGTCTTCAGCTTCGGACGGGGGGCATGGGGGGCATAGCTTTTTCTTTGTGCAGTAATGGGTTTCAGGGTATCGTTTTGCCAAACCATCCCAAAATACCCGGCGATTCGGAGAGAGGTTTTCCACTACCCCCAGGTTGAATGTGATGTACAGCCACTATATGGCCACTATATAAAAGGTATATACCCCAATTTCCCCCTCGGGGTAGATGTTTTGGGGGTAGTGGACACCATCTCAGACCCAAGAGCTTCAAATTCAATTTGTCTCAGCACCCGTCGTGGGTGCAACCCGTGCCGGCCAGGCTTAAGGTAGATGCGCTCCCTTTGCGGGTTGCGGGGCTCACCCACATGAAACAAAATCAAAACAAGCAAACGCAAACTGCCCGCAACCAGAAAGCGAAGAGAAAAGTCACCCAAAAAACACTGCTGCCTAGCCACTATCCTCAAGAGGGAAGGGAATAACCCTCTGAACACTTGCGATACAAAGATTACGTACTCGCTTTGGCCTTAGGGGGCAGTGATTTGGGAGCAGAGGTTCAGATGCCAGACCAGGATAGGGCGGCATTTGTGTAACCTCAAGGTAGACTAAACTTAGGGGTGGTTGATTTCCCAAAACAGGGAACGCAAGGGTGGAGGTCTACCTTGAGGTAAGCAGAAAATCGCACCCTATGCCAGGGACTGTTGTTCTATTGGCATGGCTGCCCTATTCGGCATGTACGCCTTCTTCCCACATCTCAGGGTGACTGTTCGTGATCGGGCAGGGTTTCTTTGCATATAATACATCTCACTTGCTTTTCGAGGGGATCGCCTCAATCATCTGGTATTGATGCCCGAAATATGGCAATCCCAACCACACTCAAGCCCAAGAACATAAACCTGTCCTACAAGTCAGATATCAGCATAGCCGATCACTGGCTGAAACTGGTCTGAAACATGGGGAGCAATGCGCTAGCGGCGCTACCCAATGGTAAATTTACCGTAGAGGCATCCATGGTCATCCACCATGACCATCCATGGTCATCCATGGTTCCGTAGTTCCCTTACTTAGGGCATCCACCGTATCTGGGCGACAGGTTGGCCAAATGGGTCCATTAAGGGACTCGCAGTGCCAAGCTCAACCGGACAGCGGCTGCGGATCTCGAAGTCCCTAAGGATTCCCTTAAAGGAAACCACAAAGTTTTGTTTTCTTCCTTTTTTCTTCCGCGGGTCATTCAATTCGGAGGGCGCCGGGTGCGTTACTGCAGCGTGGTGGACACTTCCTTCCGAAACCCCTGGGTCATTCCCCGAGAACCGACCCAGCATGCTGTGGATGGGGACGCGAGATCCGCTTCTCCCACGAGATGAAACCAGGGTTGAAAAACTTTGAAGCCATGCCGTTGTTTTTCGGTGTTTGCGTTGGCAAGTTGGGGACTCGAATCGGATGGCGCGCTGGATTTCGCAACCATCCATCGTAGCTAGCTGAAAGCCAAGACGGACCCCATTTGAGGTGGACCCCTGTGGGGATTCATGGTGTACTAAGATAGTCTGCGGGTTCGCTAAATGACTAGTAACCCTGGTTGCAGCGGACTTACAACACTGTTTTGGCGGGTTACAGCCGGGGCGAAGCTAGCGGGTCAAAATCCCGTACCCCCAGTGAACATCCCAATCCCACCTAAAATAGGTTCTAAAAATGGGTGGTGAATTCACCTATCCCAAAATGGGATCCCAAAACGGTGTTGCAACTACAGCCATCTAGCGATTCCTCGCAGACCATCTGGCTGTGGCTCAAAAATGGGTACTCAAAATGGGTTGCCCTGGCAAATGGAACCCAGGTCTAAAACCTTGGGTCCCCTGGTGGTTTAATTTTGACCCACACCCATTACTTGCTGGTCTCAGTAGGGAATGACTCAGGGTGTTGTGAATGAGCATTGAAGGAAAACATTGGGGATGGTTATGGCCGGGGTCATTCCAACTCATTCCCTGCTGAAAACCAGCTGAGAACCAGCTAAGTCAGCCGCGCGAGGAGAGATGAAGAAGCGGCCCGCCGGGGCGGCGGTGGTGCTGCGGGAGCAGCTGCCGGAGGTTTCCGTGCAGTGGGACTGCGAGGAGCGAAGTCGGTTGGCTTTTAAATCAGGGCTCCTTAAAAGATCTCCATTTTGCAACAGTTTAGGGTCACGCAACTGAGTTCAGGTACCCCTCAAGTTGCGGTTTGGGATTTGAACCCACTTTTGTAGAGGCTACATAGGAACCCAGCCCAGAACACCACCCAAGCCAACCCAAACCACCAATCCAACCCGCCAATTGCTTGGTTGACGTTGGAAGGGGAGCAAACATATACATTTTAGCAGTTTTGTGGTTGGATTTCAACCACTAAACCACAATGAGCAAAAATGGGAAAATGTTTCCCAACAACAACCATGATTGGAAGGAGAAGCAGGGATTCTTACATTATACACCTGAACATTGCCTTGTAACGTGTTTTCGTTTCTTGGGGGTATCCTTTTAAAATGAAGGGCGGGAATCCGGGAATGAGCAGCTGGCAAGTGACTTGGGGCACCTCAATGGCTGCGACAAATGGCTCTCCGAAGGCGATCAGGACCCGCTTCTTCGAGTCTCTTCAACGGGTCTGAAGGGGCCCAGCGTGAATCCCTGATTGATGCAAAGGGACTTTCGGCACTGTTGCGCACGGGGTAAGTGGACGACCACAGAATGTTGACCCCGGATAAATAAAACTATTCTAGTCGGGGGTGGGGAGCTCCTTCAAAAGTGGTACGAATACCCACGAAGAAAAGGGGACACTTCCCAATCAAAATCAAGCAGGAATTGATTAATCAGAGGTGCCCGTTACCTGGTGAGGGGGGGGGGGCACCTTTTTGCGGGGAATTCAGGCACAGAAGCTTAGCGCTCGCGGGGAAAGGAGGTGTCTGAGGTTCCAGGAGGCCCCATTCTTTTCGGGCCCTGTCCTTTTATTGCCACAAAGGCAAACAAAACAATATGCGAGGAGTGCCCATCCGCAGAGAAAAGTGACGCTTGCGGCCTGGTGGTGGCACTGGAGACGACCGCAGGCTGCGTCTTGGGGGGCGATTCAATGGGCCGCACCTCGGCTTTTTTTGGTTTGGGCGGAAAAACATATTTGGACCCTCAAACTGCCCTTGAAAAAGGGGCAAAACCAACGCCACACAAACCCTAAACCAACCCTAACCAGCCCTAAACCCTTTAGCAATGCAACCTCAGCCGAGCTCAGTACCAAACCCACATGGCTCGGATTGCATAATACTCACGCCAGAAACAAGCAGAAGGGGTTGAGAGGGGCAGCAAGATTCGCTGGGTTGCTCAAATGTACCTCTAAATCCTTCCCTTGTTACGCAATGGGTGCCCTGCGCAGTGGTTTCAATTCCCCATTGGGATTGGCCGCCTCCATTTCGAACGGCCGATAGCATTGGGATTGGGATCCAGCTCCATTTTGAGCATGGCTCAGGGGAAATCAGCCCCCTTTGGGGTCCCAAATGGCCATGGGTTTGTATATGGACCTATTCAATCAGCCTTTGAGAGTGCAAGAATAATGTCCCTCCCTTCCCCCGGAGAGAATCCGGTAGACTCAGATTGGTGTACCACCCCCCCACCCCCCCACCCCACCGCCCACCCCCCCACCCCCCACCCCCCCCCCCCCACCCTTGCAAGGAGACACTTCCCATTCTTTCCAGGGATCCGAATCTTTCTAGAAAACCACCAAAAACCCTGGGTTGAAATGGCGCTCGGTTTTTGAAAAGAGCGATGGCTGAAAAGAATGGAATTGGAATCAGCCCCCCCCACCCCCCAGCCAGCCCCACCCACACACCCCCCCCACCCCCCACCCCCCACCCCGCTCCCCCCATCCCCGTCCCCCCCCCCAATCCACTGGGGAGTTCCTTAGGCCGGGGCACCAGCGCGGAGAGCGTGGGCGAAGAGGCGGCCCATGCGGCGCTCGCGGCGCTCGCGACCGGCGGCTGCTGTGATGAGCACCTGGAGGAGTCCTTGGATGAAACGTGGCTGGTGTGTGGTGGTTTAAAGAATCGGGCAAGCCCAAAATGGAACCACAGATCCTTTTTTTCTGCACTTGTTGGGTTTGGACCATTTTAGTGGCAAACAAGCAGTTTAGACAAATCCCCTCAGGAAAGTGAGGCTAACTGGTAAATGCAAAGCACTAAAACATGCGGTCCATTCCTGGCGGTGTATTTTTTGAGTCGTACCCTGCTCTTTTCCATCAAACCGAGGGTTGGGGTTAGTGATTGGGAGTTTGGAGGTTCCCTGAAAATGGCCAGGAGTGATCAAGACCAAGGCCAACCAGTAGGTGTTACCACCAGCGCCATCTCTCTGTTTTGGTTTGGACCGGTTCAGCGGTTTGGCACCAACATTCCAGCATCCACTGACTCATTTTGGGCCTTGTCGTCTTAAGGTCCAAAATGGTTGACATTGGCGGACGGCGTTTTTTTTTTTTTTTTTTTTTTTTGTTTGCTTCCCCTAGGAATAGGCGGTTGGCATCAAATTCCTATCAACTACCTTGACGGTGAAAAACATCTCGGCTTGGCCGCTGGTTCTCAGCAGGGAATGAGTTGGAATGACCCCGGCCATAACCATCCCCTATGTTTTCCTTCAAGGCTCATTCACAACACCCTGCACCGTCTGCATCTCGGTTTCTCTTTGGCTTCCAAAATGAGAATTGAGACACATCATTCTGGTTGTTCCGGCACCCTCACAAGGTATTGGCATGCATTTTAAATGGCTTGGAGGTTCCCAGCGGTTGCTCAGGCTTTGCGCTTTTCATTGTTTAGTGATTGGATTTCCATTTAACCCACTAAAGTAAAACTTTGAGCTGGGGATAAGTTTGGACAGCCCATTTTGGTTAGAAGGGGAAGACACGTCACGTTTCGAGGGGACGACAAATCCATGGAAGTCAAAGATCACAACCCACAATAGTCTGTGTTAGTCGCCGGCCACCGGCCATCGGCCACAGCGAGGACGACGCAAATCAGACTTTGATTGCCAGACCTAGCTGACCTTTCATAGCTTGTCGGCGTCCGTTTGGATGTGGCGAATCTGTGGATCCACCCCGGTAGGATGTTAAAAGAGTACAACAGTACCAAGCAAGAACTTACAGGGGGGAAGAACAGGTGAAATCCACACAGAGCGCATCCAAACCGTTGTCTAGACCTTTTGGGTTTCCTTACCACCAAAAGGATATGTTTTTGCAGGGGGTCGGACTTGTTCGGTCCAGCAAATTGCACCTTGCCAAAGGCCGAAACATGGCCTTTCCGGAAGAGACGAGACTTTTTTTTGGGGCCTGAACCGGAATCTTGAGAGCTTTGTGCTCCAAATGCATTTGTTTTCCAAATGCCGGCTTTGTTCTGGGGTACATGCTGAAAAGCCGTTTTGTTTCTCAGGCAAATGTTTTGTTGTTGGTTGGGATGGACATCATGCCCTGGAACAAAAGGGGGTACGGTGGATGCCAACTCAATATCTCAGGTAAACTATCCGCACGAACCACCCCACATGGAAATTTCAGTAAACCTGGGTCCTGCTTGTTCCCTTGCTTGCAATATTGAATTGGCATCCATACTGATGGACGAATCCACAATTCATGGTTGAATGTACGTTGGGTTTCCTTCGTTTCATCACCAATACTCAGTTGAGCCACAATCAGAACCCGGGTAGATGAAGGTTAGTAATGATGATCCCAACCAAAATAGCAGCGGATGTCCGCCTTCTTAACTCTTGAAGCACCGTTCTGGGGATCGACACATTTCATATCGGGTTTTGATTATGACTGGGACCATTTTGGGGTAGGTGCACACCCATTTTAGTCTATTGTAGTGGGGATTGGGATGTTCACCGGGGGCTAACCGGGATTTTGACCCATGACGCAGTTGGCCTCTGTAGCTCTCGCAGGAGATCCCCAGAGTCTCGCCGGATGCCGCCGGCAGGATCAGCTGGTGGTCTTCATGGCGCTGGCGCGGGGCACTTCGCGCCTGCGGCTGGGGAAGCAGCGGTCGCTACATCTGCAGACAGCCGCGTGGCTCAATTCGGACGAGACGTGGTGGTTGTTGGGCGACATTTTACATTTTTGCTTGCGGTTTAGTGGGTGAAATCCAACCACTCAACTGCCCCAAAAAAAAGAGAGATTGTTGTTCCCCTTCCAACGTCAACCAAGGAGAGGGACGGACCTTGTGGGTGGAAATGGGGTTTGAGAGTTGGAAGCACCTCCTTTGAGTGGTTGGACAATGGTGGAAAGGTGGAACCGCATTTTGGTTGGACATGTTTTTCTCTGAGTCAAGGAGATGCCAACGATTTAAAGTGAGAAGTCATAAGCGATCTTGGTATCACAAGGATTATTTTCCACAGAATTGGGCATCACATAGCTTAGCTATTTTTCCCGCCGGTTTGGTATCACATCATCACTATAATGGTTATTTTTCCACATTTATGGGACAGATTTGTTGGGGAGAAATTCGCGGGCCGTCTTCTTTCTTGTGAAACTTAGCGGCGGAGTTTGCCTGGAGGGGGTTTGAACAACCGCTGCTTAGCTTTCTCAGGGCGTAGTTGCTAGGCTTGCAGTCGCTGGCAAGTGACATGCTGGCCTTAGCGTAGGCCCCTCTCTGGGTTTTGCAGGTTGGTGGGTATCCTTCATTGGTAGGTTGCGGATGGTAATATTGTCGCTTACTCCGATGAGTAAGAATTGAGCAAGAAACAATCTTGAAGGCGTTGAAGCAACGCGTAGGTGCCGAACCAGGGACCATTTCTCGCGAGAAAAGATCTGCATGCCCTTCAAGCGAAAGGTAGATGCCACGATGCCCAGTAGATGTGATGGGATGGAATTGTGCAATGTACTTTACTGCAAATGGAGGTCTTTGTCAGCATAAGTGTCCTTTTTAGGTCTAAGGTTTGCTTAGAAATAGATGGAATCCACCGGTGTAGATTCTAGATGGTTTATGCCCCATTTACCAGGGCCATCGAACATTTTCCCCAAAATTAGATGACCAGGAGGCGTCTCAAATTCGGGGACGACTAAAATGACGGGCTTCCTTGCGAAAGGGGTTTAAAGCCAGACCTGTTCTTTTTTAGTTTCCTGTTGGGTGAGAGCATCGGTGTCCTTTTTAGGTTAGTATTGCTAGACATAGACCATCCTTTTGCCAGGGACACCCGTCTAGATGTTTCCAAACGGACACCACCTGTGGGAGGACGAAATCCATGCAACGCACCACCCAAGAAACCCTAGAATGATTCGATTCCCCTGTCAGTACCAACAATCAAATGGTTTCAACCATAGCTTCAAAGTGGGATTTCGCAACCATCCACAGTATGGAAGGCCTGGATCCCAACTGCGCTCGGCCAGCGCCGTTCCAGGCGCTTTGGCTCGCGGAAGGCTTCGGCGCGTCAGTGCGGATCGCGGCTCGGAGTGCGGATCGCGGCTAGAGGGAAGCGCTAAAAGCGTCAGACGGCGGTTTGGTGGCGGATCTTCGGACTTTAAGCTTTTGACGTTTTGGTAGAAAGTTTCCGAATTGGACCCGGAAGACGTGACGTAATTCTTGCAGAGGGGTGAACAGCAAGCAAGAAAGGAAATCAGGAAAGCCACAAGTCTATTGGGCAGTGTGAGCCAAATTGGCAAGCTCAAGCTGACGACATTGTTGCAGCATGAGAACACTGGGGCACAGAACAGCTTCCGCCTCTCTTGGTAACTGCTTAACCGCAGGGAGCGTAGCTCCGAGGCGAGAGAATGCGAAGTGGGACATGGCAAATAGGTTATTCCGACACAGACCCACAGGTTAAGGTGCCTTCAAAGGTTCTGCCGGGTGTTTGGGTTTGCATGGAATTTGATGTTGCCTGAAAGCGTGCAGGTTTCATTTGGATGTGGCTGCCTTGGTTTGTGGTCCCTAAGCCCTAAGATTTCTTCCTGTAAGCTGGCGGCGCCGCTTCCTGATAAAAAAAAAAAAAAGAAAAGAAAAAAAAAACATCCCCTCGAGCCCTCACATGCCCTGCAAAAAGAAACCAGTTATTATTGGGGGTGTGGGGGCCCCTCCAAAAAGTGGTCTGAATCCCAACTAATATAGGGACACCCCCATAGAGATAAAAAGGGCGTTGATTAACAGGAGGTCAGCAAATACACGGACCCCGAATTGGAGTCTATGCCCGCCGAAAAGAGTGGATGCCCCAACCGATGTGCAAGTGAAGCAACCACACGAACAACCCCCAAAACGGAAGGTTTCCTTGTTCCCATGCTCGCTATGCGTACCATGGTCAAAGAACTGGTTCCTGCACGTGCAGTCATCAGGGATAGTCGCCTTGGATCCTTAATGCCCGTTATGATTCCGAAGGCAACCATGACTCATGGGTGCCTGGAGAAAGAGGGGGGAGGCAGCAAACAAATTAGCTCCAGCCAAACCTTTTCTCTCATGGCACCACCCCCAGCAGAGCCAATAAGCAACCCCAGGTCCAAGTGACGCTGGTGATGCTGGGGATGTTGCCAGCCCTGTGGAAAACCCCAGCTAGTAAAAAAAACATCAACAACAACACCGTTACCCACACATGGAATCGGCATAGGTCTCAAAGTTCAGGTGCCAGACCCAGACGGCGACATTCTGGAAGTCACCGGCATGCTGTGAGAGACTCTCGCCGACCTGTCCAGCCGAGAAGCGATTTCTGGATGAAGCGTTTGGTGGATCGTCAGACTTTTGTGCCGCTTCAACCAACATTTGGGTACACCAACAAATGAACTTGCAAGTCAACCAACAACATGTGCGGACTTTGATCGAATCGAGAAATTGCTGAGGGATCTCATCGTTTTTGGTCGACGGTTTTTCACGGCGCCAGCATGTACAGTGTACAGTGCCGCCTTCCAGAAGAAACAAAAACGCTGTCGCTGCAAGCTCGGTGAGGTTCCGCAGGAGCGCCTCAAAGCATTGCCATGCATTGCGCAACTCAAGACACTCGTAAGAAAGAGCTGGGCTCTACGCCAACGAAGCTAGCCAGTTTGAGAGGACTTGATCAAAGGGGATCAGTTTCAATTTTGAATAAGCTATGATTAGGTTGTCCTGGTTGCAATCACGATGCGGTTACTGCAAGGGAACAAGGTGATTTTTCCTCAAGGTTACAGACTGTAACAGCACAAATCCCTTTATGCGGGTAAAGGGTATGATTGAAACAGCCGGCGGGAATTGTGCCTACTTTGGCCCATGCGTCTCGTGAGAATATCGGTTTCATAGGTTGTTCCTCGCAGCACTCGCTTGAATCAGGAAGCTATTCCGCACCTCTTAGGTGAGTTGGCACTTCATCCGACTGGCTTTCAAAGGACAGGGACTCAGACAAACAGCAGCACGGACATGTCACTTGCTGATCACTTGGAGACAATGTGAACTTTCGGATGAAAAACGAGGACCGTACGAGTCTCAGGGCTGGAACCTTTAAGCAATCTGACTAGCATCCTCCGGATTAATCGCAAGCTGACTGTAAGTCGGACAATGAGCACCCACGCAGCGGGGACTCCGATTTGTATGCCTTTGAGACGCTGTCTGAACGGAAACAAGGTCGAAACTTGGTTGCTTTCTGCCCCCCTGCTAAAAGTTTAACTTTTAGTGGTTTAATGGAAAACCCACTAGATGGCAAAAAGTTACAAAGTCCTAACATCCAAGCAAAATGCACCAAAGGAAACTGACACGCCGAGCCTTGGGCAACATACAAACAGCAAGATGGTTGTTTGCATAGGTGTCCTTTTTGGTTGTTTTGGTAGACAAATGGATGGCCTTGGTGTACCTGGTGGTTTAATCATCCACCAGGGAAGTCCATCTATTTCCCCTAAAAGGACACCTATGGTTGTGTGCGTGTGTCTTTTTTGAGGGGCAGCCATTTGAGGTTGATTTAAAGGGAAACTAAAAGGACAACCAAATTCCATTTGTTGAGTCACTCTATCCAAATGATGGGTGTCCAATGGCGACCCTTTCCGAGGACCCAGCAACATTTGTCGCAACTGGCTCGACCTGCCATGTACAAAGTGATGTCACTTCACGGCAGCACGAGTCAACAAGTTGAGCCACACACACATACACAGCGTAGTGTTTTCTTGGGTAGACGGCAGGCCCCTTTCGTGCCAGGTTTTAATGACTCATTTCATTTTATGCTTCTCTTGCTGGTTCTCAGCAGGGAACCGTTGTGATTCCTGTATTCATGCAATCCCCAAAGCCGGTTCATTCAAGCATCACCCGGACTCGGAAAGTCATTCCCGACCTAAGCACCAGCAAGTTCTTTGAATTCGTGTTCTCGCCTCATGCCATGGCCACCTCAGAAGCTTCGGACGAAGGCCAGGAGAAGCTGCGCTTGTGACCCGCGGGTGTGTCGCGTGTCTCTCCGTGAGCTGTCAACAATTCATCCTAAACGGGGGGATGCTCTGCCCCGTTCTCGGGCAACTTGGACCATCGTTTTTGTTGTCGGTCAAAATTCAACCACTAGGGGCTCCGTAGCGTTTAGTCCTTGGTTCCATATACCAGGGCAACCCATTTTGGGGTTACCGCAGCCATTTGGTTTGATTTTGGTGTTCAAAGGGGCCATGTATCTTCGAAGCCTGGATTTCTCCATTCGGCTTTGTGTGCAGTTTTTAGGCGGCCCCTTGTGCAATTTGGAGTGTGTGAGTCGTGGCTGAGACGGCACGTCTAGCACTGACAGCATGTCGTAAGGACCTACAAATGGTTTCAATCAGTCCCTAAACCTTAGCCATGTCAGCAGAACCGCACCTGGGTTTTGGTCGCTCACGCAAGTGGACGCATTCTTCACGTAGAGCGGGCCACTGGCTCAAAGGTAGCCCGAATCCAGCGGCTTTCCGGTGGTTGGCTTAAGGTTTTTCACCGAAGTGAAGCCCACTGAACGGAGGGGGGGGGGAGGTTGTTGTTTTTTAGTAGGTTCTAGCCGAGCGAAATACCAACAACCTGCCTTGGCCCAAGTTGGTGGGGGTTCCCAGGCATCCGGCCCCTTCGGGCTGTGGATTTTTGGGGTGCGGTTCAGTTTCCGAACATCAACCCACCAGTGTTTCCTTTAAATATGTATATATATATATATCTATGTTCGGACCAGTCCTTCGTTTTTCTTCTTTTTTTCCCCCCCCCCCCCGATTTCTTCGGCTCCGACCACCGGCTCCTGCGCCGGCCGAAAAACCCGGCTGGTTCGACGCGAGCGAGCGAGCAAGCGACCGAGCGAGCGAGCCATGGTCCGCGGCTTTGCGCTGGGCACGGGCTTTGGCCTAGCGCTGGGCGTGGGCCTGAACCTCTTCAGCGTGCCTCGCGATTCGTCGCTCGCGAGCCTCGCGCTCGCGGGCGGGGAGGCGCCGGATGCGGGTGCGCAGGCGGGTGCGCTGCAGGCGGGCAAGTCGTGTTTTTTTTGGGCGCCGAGTGCGAAAGAGAGCTTTGTGCTTTTTGCTTTTGCCAGGCCGTGGTGTGAAATTGTGCTTTTACTGCGAAGGAACCTGGTGAGAGAGGGAAGGGGGGTTCCGGAACCTTGACGCGATGTGGGTATGCAGCAAAAGTCAGCCGAGTGTTCGACCGCAGGTTTTAGGCCTTGCTATATACCAGGGCGGCCGGGACCCATTTGTTGGGGTACCAGATTTTTGACCACCACAGCCGTGTCGGTGTTTTTTGTTGCGTGCAAGAGGGGCGCTTTGGTTTGTTCAGATGGGTGTGAGTCAACATTAAACCACCACAAAACGCAGGTTGTAGTCCAAGTTTACATTTACCAGGGCAACCCAGTTTGGCTACATATTTTTGACGCCACAGCCAGATTGGACCCAGGCGAGACTGGACAATCTGACGGATGCGATGAGCCCAGAACCCAGTTGCAGCCTCAAAGGCTTCAGCGGCACTCTGCCACCCCCCTGCGCCAAGCTCACCGAGTGGGAAAGGGCCGAAGAGCCCGCCCTGGTATTCATGAGCCTTGGACATATCACTCCTGTTTTGTATTCTTATGTGAATATAATACATATATATATATATACTAATATACATACAAACACATACATACATACATATATATATATATATAGAATATACATATTGCAGGCCTGCCGTAGTGCCCGTCCTCAATCCCCAAAGAGCAGTTTTTGAAACTGAACCTTTACAACCACCTTGGGTTCTGGCTTTATAGAACGCTCGCTGGTGCGAGAAGTAGGGAATGGTTGGAATGAAGCTGGAGACTCTCCTCCTTCCGGCTCTTGGGCCCGAGCCGGGGCGAATGTCTGGCTACGCGATCGATTCGGTAAAATTCAGGGAAGTGGGTAGTAACCATGGTGAAAGCATCCACACAAGCCATGTGGCCAGGGGGTAAAACCTAGGGCGAGCCATTTTGGGGTGGATGGTTACATTGTTCACCAGGGGTTTCCTAGGTTTTGACCCACAGCCATGTGTTTTTGTTTTCAGTCCCCGGCTTTTTTGTCCCACTTTGAGCCGAACCGAAAAGCTTTCCGCCCTTGCGCCCTTGCGCAGCGAAGGCACAACCACAAGGCAGGGGGGAGCACCATGAAGGAGGCCATCAACATGCTCTGCAAAGCCCCCGAGTTGTGCATCTTGTTCTCGGGGAACCAGTCGAAGGACGAGAAGGGAAGCAATCTGAAGTTTTTGTTTTTTTTTACTTTCCAGGGTCCGGAGACGGAGTCGGAGGGCTTTGGATTTGCTGGCTTTGTGGGGGAGCGGTCCAAAGCGTCCGAGCCAAAGATGTCAATTTTCATTGCAAGAGGACTTCAAGGGTGAAGATTGGTGAAGGCTTTGCCCGAAAAGATGGTTGCAAGGTTGGTGAAGGTCTCTGCGAAACCGGAAGCCTCAAAGTGACTCACCAACGAAGGCTTGCAGTGGTTTGTCTTCCTTTCATAAAAAAAAGAAAAAGTCAAAAATAAAATAAAATAAAAAAATGCACCTTTCGAGGTTGCAAAGAGTGGAGGAGAATGCCCAGGCGCCCCAATTTCGTTCTGCTTCGGTGCGGGCTTCAAGTCTTGGCTTGGGCTTTGGGGACTGGGATGATGATTCCTTCAGCTTGGGGCCTGGGGCTTAGGGCTTCCACTCATCCACTCAAAAGCCTACGAGAGATGGGTGGAAGGGCTCAAAAACCCCTTCCCTGAAAAACCATCAAGTTAGACCTGGCCAGAAAGTGTTAGGGGGTATTTCTGGTGCTTTCCTCTTGAATCTGCGGTGCAAGTAGGTGAACACTGGACCCCCCCCCCTTTCTGGAGAATCTACCATGGTTTTGGGTTTGTGTGGTTGGCTTACTTGCAATATGAAACGGACATCACCTGTACTTGCCGCTTTTTGTTTGTTTGTTTGTTTGTGTGTGTGTGTGTGTCCGCGCGTTTCTATTGTTTAAACCAGCTAGAAAAGCAAGAGGATGAGTCTCCAGCGGGTCTTTAGTTGCTTAACCGCACACTTTTTTCGCAAATTGTGTTTTACATCCAAAGACGTAAACTGAACAGGCAAGTCTTCTCAAGGCGCACACTTCTTCGCACATTCTTCTTAAGACGACAAGGCAAGTCGTTTTAAACCACAAGCTTCTTCGCATTTTTTTTTTAATGCCGAAAACAAGTCTTCTCAACTCGCAAACTTCTTCGCACATTTTGCTTCAGACGAAAAGCAAGTCTCCTGAAACCGCACACTTCTTCGCACATGCTGCTAAAGACGAAAAGCAAGTCTTCTAAAATTTCAAACTCCTCCTTCGCATTTTTGAAGACGATGAAGCAAGTCTTCTTATATCGCAAACTTGTTCACATTTTCTCAAGACGGAAAAAGCAAGTCTTCTTAAACCGCAAGCTTCTTCGCACATGTTTCTTAAGATGAAAGGCAAGTCCTCTCAAACTGCACTAGAAGCGGAAAGAGCAAGTCTACTTGAACCGCACACTTCTTCGCACATGCTTCTTTAGATTAAAAGAAACAACAAGTCTTCTTGATTCGCACGCTTTTTCGCACATTGTTCTTAGAACGATAAAGTCATCTTGAACCGCACACTTCTTTGCACAGTCTTCTTAAGACGACAAAGCAAGTCTTAAACCACAATCTCCTTCGCACAATTGTGTTAAGATGGAAAGGCAAGTCTTCTCAACTCGCAAACTTCTTCGCACGTTATTCTTACTGAAAGCAGCCTTAAGATGAAAAGGGCAGGTTTTCTTGAACCGAAGCTTCTCCGCACATAACTTTTAAGACGTAGATGCAAGCCTTCTTAAGCCACAATATTCTTCGCGCATTTGTTTTTTTTGAAACGCAACAGCAAGTCTTCTTGAAACACAAACTTCTGCGCAAGTGTGTTTTGACATGAAAAGGCAAGTCTTCTTAAACCGCAAACTCCTTGGCACATTTTTCTTAATTCGAAAAAGCAAGGTTTCTTAAACCGTACACATCATCGCACATTTTTCTTAAGACAAAAAGGCAGTTCTTCTTAAGCCACAAACTGCTTTGCACATTTTCTGAAGACTGAAAAGCAAGTCTTCTTAAACCGCAGTCTTCTTAAATCACGCACTTCTTCGCACACGTTTCTTAAGACGAAAAGGCAATTATTCTCAAACCACAAACTGCTTCACATTTTTCTTCAGACGAAAAGGCAAGTCTGCTTGAACTGCAAACTTCTCCGCGCATTTTCTTAAGACGAAGAAACAAGTCGTCTTAAACACGCCGTACACTTCTTCGCACATTTTTCGAGATGAACCAGCAAGTCCTCTTAAACCGCAAACTTCTTCGCACATGTTTCTCAACACGAAAAATCAAGGCTATGTAAATTGCAAGCTTCTTCGCACATACTTCTTAATATGGAAAAGGAAGTCTTCTTGAACCGCAAACTTCTTCGCACATTTTTCTGCAGACATTACACTATACTTGTTAAACTGCGCACTTCTTCGCACATGTTTCTTAAGACGAAAAGGCAATTATTCTTAAACCACAAACTGCTTCGCACATTTTCTGAAGACGGAAAAGCAAGTCTTCTTAAACCGCAGTCTTCTTAAATCACGCACTTCTTCGCACACGTTTCTTAAGACGAAAAGGCAAGTCTTCTTAAACCACAAACTGCTTCACATTTTTCTTAAGACGAAAAAGCAAGTCTTCTTAAACACGCCGTACACTTTTTTTCGCACATTTTTTTCAAGATGAAACAGCAAGTCTCCTTAAAAGGCAAACTTCTTCACATGTTTCTTAACACGAAAAATCAAGGCTATGTACACTGCAAGCTTCTTCGCACATACTTCTTGATATGGAAAAGGAAGTCTTCTTGAACCGCAAGCTTCTTCGCGCATTTTTCTTAAGCCGAAAAAGAAAGTCTCCTTGAACCGCACACTCTTCGGCACATTATTATTAAGACGAACACTGCTCAAACCGCACACTCCTTCACACATTTTCTTGAGACGGAAAAACAAGTCTTTTTACACCGCAGACCTCTTCGCACATTTTGCTTCAGACGAAAACAGACATCTTCTTAAACCGCTTACTTCTTCGCACATTTTCTTAAGGAAAAACAACTTCGCAAACCGCCACATCGTAGTTTTTGGTTTTCTGGCCAGGAGCGGCCGTCCAACAAACCGCACATTTCTTCGCACATTTCGTAAGCCTCAGGTAACCCCTAATTGGCGAGTTGAGGGGGATTTGAACCCTGGTTCATGGGTTTACCACTAACTACCAAGCCAGGGCTCGAAACCACCAAGAGGGAAGCTGAGAAACCGGCCTCCGTTTTTCTTCATGAGCAGCCCTCCAATAAACTGAAAAGTCAGGCAACCTCTGATTGGTGGTTTGGATCGGCCCTGGTTCTTGTAGAACCGAGCTTCAGGAGTGGCCCTCCAACGCTCAAATTTCGCAAGCCTCACGGAGTTATGGGGTTTAGCACCAATCCCCCGATTTCGGCTTCGAAACCACCGATTCAGGGGGGTAAATGGGGTTTCCCACCACCAAACCGCCAGAACCGGCTTTGACACCCAACCAGGAATTTTGTGTTCGGCGCGCTTAGCGCGCGGAGGTTTGAGGGCTTTGAAGCCCAAAGCACCCCTTGGGCGAGGGAATTTGCGCGGCGAGGAGTGGCCCTCCCAGAAGCCCCTGGGGGACTTCCTCTTCACGGGCTCCGAGGCTGAGCGGCGCCGGGTGCGCGCCGTGATCGCGGTGGATCCGGGCTGGGTGGGGCTGTGCGGGCTGCTGCCGCGGCCCTGCGTCTACCTCACCACGCCACTCGTCTCGAAAACGGGGGGGGGTCTCCAAGGAAGCCAAGGCATAGGGAAGCCTAAGAACTCCTGCAACTCGAAAAGCTTGTACCTATTTCTTGGGCATTCCACTTAGTCGAAGTGGAGAAGACGTGAATCGATTTTTTGGGGAAAGAGCCTGGTTGGTTTTCACCCGAACCTGCACAGGAACCGGCTCCTGGAAGGCCATTTTCCTTTTTGGTGCGGGTTCACCGCAAAAAAAACAAACGTTTTTTTTGGGGGAAGCCCCTTGGCAAGAAGTCCAACATGGGCGGTTTTTCTCCTCCCGCTGAGTCGGGCACCCTTGCCAGTGGTTGGGAACCGCGCTGCCTTGCTTGTAGCACCCCTTTTGGCCATTGGACTCAATCCGGGACTCGGATTGGGCGCGGGAGGGAGTCCTGAGGGATCCCTATGATTCCTACGCCTCCCGGGACCGATGGTTCAGATTCGATCGATGTCCTTTTGATCGTTTAGTTTGGTTAGAAGTAGATGGGTTCCGCTGGTTTAGATGGGCTTTATGCCATCCATTTACGAGGGACACCCATCGATTTGCAGCATCTGAGCAGGAGTGTCCCTCAGATTCTTCTGCTTGCCACTCCTTTTTCGGCCGGAGTTGGGGTCCTCACCAGGCCCAATTTAAGGTCTGAGCTCCCGGGATGAAGTTGGAAGTTTGGAATGGGACACATAGGGCCAACAAGATCACTGAACTGAGACGGGACCACTCAATGGGTCTTGTTGCATCCAATGGTTGACCAACCAGACGGTTTTCCGTTTTCCCTTCGCGGGATCCGATCCGAGATTCCTAAGGGACCTGCTTGTGTGTCTCAAGATAGGCTTCGGACCGCAAAATGGCTTCGCTTTTGTTTCCCTTCAAGACCCATGCCAAGCAGGGTACCGGCTCACAAAACACAGCCTTGTAAGATCCCGGCAGATTCCCAGGCAACGAAGCAAGCAAGAAGATCATGGGACGACCGTCGCATTTCTTGAGGCAACTGAGGATTTACCTGGAAACATTTTACATTTTTGCTTATTGTGGTTTAGTGGTTGAAAGCCAACCACTCAACTGCTAAAATTTAATTGTTTGCTCCCATTCCAACGTCAACCAAGTCTTGAGGGTTAGGGAAATGCAGGCCCGTGAAAGAGGGAATGATTCTCGTCACGGTGAACATAATGGGTGTTCTTTGTGTTTCCCATATAGCCCAAAGGCAAACCGGCAAACCCCGCATCTGCGGGAGGGTGTCATTTTCGCAGAGTGGGTTCATTTTCGCGCCGACTGAAGAGTCTAACTAAAACAACTTTCGTGTCCATATGTCTCGTGCGAGTTGTCTCGTGCCAGTTGTGTCGTGCAAGTTTGGCTGCGCGAGCTTTCTCTTGCAAGTTCGGCTGTGTGATAAGGCAGGCGATCTTGCCGGAAGAGCCCCTTCTGCTGACAGCAGTAGCAAAAACATAAAAGCAAAAACCAAAACAACCAAAACGACAACAAGCAACAGCCAGCCAATTTTGCGCGACGCGTTGGACAGGCTGCGGGATCCCTTCTACCAGCTCCTGAGCTTGTGGCACTTCGCCTGCCTCCAAGGCGCGCAGAAGCGCGCGGCCTGGAACGCCACGGAGCGGCAGCTCGGGCGCTGCGAGCGCCCCATCACCCAGCCGCCGGGCGCCAAACTCGTTCCTTTTTTCGAGCGCTGGTGCAATAGACAGGGAATGAGAAATTGAATGACCCCCCCAAAGAAACATCCAACTGGTAGTTTCCTTTAAGGGAAGCCCCAGGTTCATTCCCTCATTCCCTGCTTATTGCACCAGCAAGTTTTCCTTTCTTAAGAAAATCGGAGAAGACAAAGATGGATTTCGTGGTTCTGCGTCTGATTTCCCTTTGGAACTGCCAGCGCCAAACGGGCAGTACAGCTCACCTTACCCCTAGTTGGTTTGGTTTGGTGGTTTGGATGTGGGGGTACCTTCCCCTTCCCCATTATGCCACTTGGCTGCAAGAGGAAGTGGCGGAAGCGGTTTGTTATATTGTTCTGTAGAACCATGAAAAGGGGTACGGACTCAAAAAGCACACCCACGGGCCCCAAAAATGGATGTTGGTTTTCCAGTTGGTTTCCCTTTAACACTACGAAAGGTAATTACCAATTCAAAAAACATACCTGTTTGGACCCTTGTTCTCATACCTGTTTTGACCCCTGTTCTCGCCTTGTTGAACTTTGCATTGAATGAGCTTTTTGCACAAGCTTGTTTGCACAAGCTTGTTTGCACTTTTCGCACACTTTCTCGCGCCCTTGCTTCGCCAATTCTGTGTCACCCATGACTTTCCACGGGTCATTTCACTTTTTCAAGGTTCCAGCGGCAGCGAAGACATCGAGGAGTCCCATCACTTGTCCCACAGGTTTGGATGTGTTTGATGCCGCAATCAAGAGGGACCCCCATGGAGCAGGTGTCCAAAAAGGCCGGCTACGTTCAGCTTCTCTCACCAATTGGTGGTTTGGATTGGTGGCTTGCATTTGGAGTTGAAGGGGTCCCTGATTCTTGCAGGGTACATGGGTTTTTGCCACCCCTCACTACCAAACCGCGGGCAAGAGGGAAGCTGATATGTTCTTTACTTTCTCCTTAATAAAGATCAAGGCCAAGACATACAGCAATTTGCAATTTGTCGCATTTCCTTTGGGGCTTTGGAAAGATACAGCTTGGAAACAAAGTGACTCCAGTGTGGCCAAGGTTCTACTTGCAGGACCTGGCAGTGAGGTACGGAGGACCCAGCGCAAGGGGTAGCCCAGCGAGTGGAACTGGATGGGACTCATCCACAGCTTTTCTTGGGGGAGGGGTTAATTGAGCAAAAAGTCCATTGTGTCGCGGTGACGTGGCCGTATTTTAAGTTGTTCTTTGCTTCCGGGCCACCCGTCGTCAAGTGTTTTTTTGGATGACACTGAACCTTGGCCAATTCTCCTTGTTTCATTTTGAGCCTCGGTCGGCATTTCTCCGTATTTCATTTGGTACTCGGCATCGGCTCGACGGTGGCACGGCGTTCGTTTTGACGCAAGGCATGGCCCGCGCGAAGCAGGTGGAGCTGGCCTTGCAAAATTTGGAGCATCCCTGCGCCTCTGTGAGCGTGACGTGTTTTTATTTTCCTTTGGATGCTATGGGCGTAGGAGTTCGTTTGATAGGTTGGTTGGGATGAAAAATAGAAGGTTCTACTGGTTTAGGTGGACCGGGGCTATCTAGTTTTTTGAAGGTCACCTATGGGCGAAGTGTTATGGATCGATGGGCCCAGACGGGTTCTGGGATGGAAGCACCAAGGAGGTATCCGGAAGAAACCGAGGCCGTTGCACCTGGGTTGATTTTTCTTTCACCACCAATCCGGACCTTCACGAACGAGGGCTGCAGTGAATAGCGCTCTTTGCAAAGATGTAAGTTGCCTAATGGGAACCCGGTTGATTTTGATCGGCGGCCTTCTTGGTGGAGGTTCATGCCTGTTGGAGAGGACCCCCCCTAATATACAAGCACACAATCCAAGTGGGTGTGTGTTCAAACAGAGGATCCTTTAAAAGATGCATACCCTTGGTTTTAACTTTAAAACCACCCCAAAACAGATACCCTCACAAAGATTCCAAGTTCCTTTTATTGCAATGCGGTGTGAAGGTTGAGGCATATTTTTGTGATTTTGGGGTTGAGGAAAAAAGCCAAGGCGTATGGGTTGTGCACACTCAGCAGCTACAGCGCCAGCTGCTGGACTTGAAAGAGAGGTGGGCCCCCCACTTCGCAAGGCTCCTGGACAGGGCGCGCAGAAGGCCCGGGAACGCGAACCCGCACCCCGCCAACCTGACGGAGGAGGCGCAGTACGCCATGGCGGCGGCGGGCACATCTTTGCGCGCAGGCCTGGAGATTTGGGGCAGGTCCTTCCTGCTGCTGGAGCTCCAGGAGCAGCGGAAGCCCGGATTCTGCTGAGCTGAGCTGAGCTGGCGAGGTCGGAGGTGTGCGAGCTGGACATGCAGCAGCTTGAGTCCAACAGGATTTGGCTGGACTGGAAAACCCGAGGTCGAGTCCAAGAGTCCAAGAGCGCTGAGAACGGACGGAAGTCGGAGGTTTGCGCGCTTGCCGCGCCGGACCGGCTTGAGATGGCCCCACCTGGCGGAACCGAGCAAGGCTCCGAGGCATCCGGCGAGTCGATCTGGTCCGTGGACTCCAAGTGGCGGGTGAATCAGCCGCGGCTACAAAGCTTCGTCCAGTGAAGGGTCCGCGCCAAAAAGGAAATTGAGACTTATCCATGGGTCCCATGACAAGTGTGGCGCTCGTCTTGCCAACTGTCCCTGGTGCCCCTATGATTTTTTTTTTTTTCCGGGAATTGCCCATCATATTGGCCAGTGCCATTTTGCGAGCTTCCTGCTTTCTGCTTCAACCCCCAAAACCCTATTGCCCATCCATAACCTCTTCCCGGTATTCCCCTAAATCGAGAGGGAGGAAGACGGAGGGAGGACAGGGGAGTTTTGATCTTCGCAGTCGAATCCGCCGTCCAGGTGGATTTGCGACCTTCAGCCCTTCAGCGGCATAGAAATAGCGAGCGACGGGCTTGCAAGCAGCTGACGGATCCCATGGGTTGATTTTCCAGTTGCTTTGCTTGTCTTTTGACCATGCTATAGTTTCAATCTTTAGGTCCTGATGCCTGATGTGCTCATTCTTTTTCAATCGATCGCGCTTTTCAGGGTACCGTTTATTGGGGGGTTTAAAAAAACAACCAAGAGGGCAACTGTTCTTCTTTTCTTTTTTTTGGCGGGGGGTCCCCCTAAAACGACACATCCTTATCAGGGTTGTCAATATAGTTACTGTCATCTGCTGTAAAAGGGGATGCCATTGCGTACACTCGCCGAATTGCCGTTCGGACATGGGGATAATGTTGAATCAATGAATGGCATCGGCCACCATTTGAGCGCAACAGCTGTTGAGCCACAAGAAAAACCAGGGCAATTGGAGGGTAGGGGACAATCCCAGTCAGAATTGGGTGCGGCCCCCTTTTTACAATTCTTGACGTGCTTCTGGGTAGACCATTTTAATCTGGAGCTTGATTTTTGACTCGGATGAGCTTCCGAGCTTCCATGGGTCCATGTCTACAGCTCATGGCAATCCGAGACAATTCAGAAAGATGCGAGGAACTTGGAAAGGGCGATCTCCGAACCTCCACTCATGCTCCCCACTTGCTTCTTTCAAGGATGGCGATACCAAAGCTTTACACTGCTTACACGCATGAAGGCCAAGTGCTATGTGCCATGCACTGCTGGAGTCACGTGGCGCGGGGCACATGCCTCGTGCTGGCGCTGGCGCCTGTGTTGCACTACATGACCGCCTGGGCGCCCCTCGCGCCGCGGCCCTTGACGCCGCCGGCGAGCGCCCTGGCGCCTAAAACGGCGCCGGCGTCCGCTTCCGCGGCGCCCGCGGCGCCCGAGGCGAATGCGACGAATGCCACGGCCCAGGTGAAGCCTTCGAAGGAGGAGTCGAAGGCGGTCAAAGTCCCAATTTTTCTTCCACCCCCTTTTTGCCCCATGGAAATTCCGGTTTCGCCCTTCCGCCCGGCCCTTTCTCGTATTTTTATTTTCGATTCTTGCCAAAACAAAAGCCGACTCAACCCCAGCCGCGGCTCCCCCCCCCCCCCCCCCCCCCCTACCGCCAGGTTCCCGGCGCCGTGCTGCTGCTGACCTCCCCGAAGACGGGGAGCACCTCCCTGCTGAACGCCTTCCACCGGCTCGCGCCGCACCACGGCTTCCCGGAGCGGGCGAGAGATCTGGTTGAAAGCCCTGGGCGTGGGAAGTACCTCCTTTTTTTCTGGTTCTGGAACCCCCGACTCCAAATACCCCCGTGTTTTTCGGTTTATGATGTCGACCTCACCAAAAAAGGAGGTGTTGGTTGAATGGCAAATACCTTCTGTTTTGGTAAGGCTCGACATCATACCCGGTATTTGGAGGAATGTTGACCCCATATCAATCAACCCCAGTTGATTTTCTTAGGAGGCTGGGGGCCTCTCCAAGTGCTCGATTTTCCCCGCTGAACCCAGTTGGACACCCTCCTATTATAATAAGCTGAGCTTGATTAGTAATATGGGGTCAAGAATACTCCCAATACCCACCTTTTTGGTGGTATGATGTCGACCCCTACTAAAAACAATGCATTTACCAAGGAAAACCAGGGTTTTCAACACCTACCTCCTTTTTAGTAAGGGTCGACATCATAAACTGAAACAAATGGGCACATTCATTCTTGGGTCTCCTAATTTCAGAACACCCCACATTGCCGCACTTAACTAGACAGGTTGTCCCCGATGAGTCTGCAAAGACGAGAACCAGTCCCTTATTTGGTGATCAGTGGTTTGGATTTGGATTTGAACCCGCGAAAATCGCCCGCACCTCCAAACCAAATTGGACCTCCCTCCAACAATCACGGAAGTTGACAGAGGGGTTCCCCGAAAGGAAGGTCTTTTGCCACAACCCTCCGATCGTCGGCTTCCTTGATTTTGGAGGGAGGATAAGTTACAGTATTTCCCTTGGTTGGCTTTCGTTGTTTTTTGTTTGTTTGTTTGTTCTCGAAAGCTTGTCCTTCTTCTCCGAACATGCGCTGAGTTTTTCACAGTTGGTGCAACCCCTTGGGTTTTGAAACTGGGCTGAGATCATCCTTCCCCGAAGGTCTCTCTTTAAGAGGTTTCCCTCATTCCAAAGGGTTCCCTGTTGAACAGCAGTTGGCCACAAAGGAAACTGGGCAAATCCCTGTCTTGTTTTCCACTCGAGCCAGAAGCAAGGGAGTAAATCCTCGCTAAAAAGGACCCCCCTCAAAAGGAGTGGCGGGTTTATGGATCAAGGGACACGCTTCTGCCTTTGAGATTGCTTTTCCTTGCAAAACCTCTTGAACCTGTGGGTGTGTCCTGTTTGCGGTCCCCGTTTTTGGTTTGTTTCGAAGGGAAACCAAACTGAAAACCACAGTTTCGGGGGTCCCTAAAAAAGACGCCCCAGGTTTTCCAGGGTGTTTATGCTACCAACTCCACAAGAGGAGTGCTAATTCCTTCATGACGGCCGTCCGAGTTGTCCATTCAACAGGTTTTCATGGATGTTAGGGTCCCAGCAACTTGGCAAAAATCAGGATGATTTCCATCGCCCAAAACCTGCCCCGGGGAAACCGGGGGGGGTATCCTTTCATTAGAGCCTACCCGTGTATCCCAATGAAACTCTTTCAGGTTGATTGCTGGATGGTGGGATTCTCTTTATGTGTTGCATGAAGGGGATGGGGGAGATGCAGTCTCTTTCACCAAAATATGCTGGTTCAACATGGTTGTCTCCCGCCAACCATTTGGGTGAGAGTGTCGTTTTGGTATCCCTTTTTGCCACCCCTCCCCACTCAACACGAAAACAAAACGGGACACGCCCAAGGCCCCAACGTGCAGGAGCCAATGAGGTTTCACTCGGCGAGCAAAAAGATCGTCGCCCAGCTGCGGCGAATGCACTGCACAGAGGAGAAGAGGTGCATGGTGGTGTCCACCGCTTTTTGATCGCATGGTGCAGGGCTTGCTTCGTTTTTTGTTGGACTGTGTTTAAACGGGACACCTGAGGGATTATAATCTTTGACACATGTTGGCAGGGAAACCATTTGTTTCAAAAGGACCCAAGTGATCGGAGAACCCTTGACTTGTGGTTTCATTTGGTGGATTTGGATTTGAAGCCCTGCTTGGAAACTAGCCCTTAACCAACAAACCACCAATCCAAACCACCAATTAGAGAGAGGGGTCCCTGGTTTGTCCCCAACAGCTGAAAGCTTTGGGGTCTCAGCCCAGATAGGCTCCTGGCCCTGAGGTAAGGTTCCACGAGGGTTCCACGAGGGTTCCACGAGGTTCGAGGTTCTGCGAGGGCTGCGGGGTGGTGCGAGAACTAAAAGAGCACCGCATGCTGTTGGGGATATCACCTGAGCTTGTGGAGAATAAATGGGGGGCCAGGCCTGAACCACCAAACCACCCGGGCTCCAAGCCACCAATTGGAGAGACGCCAATAGATTGGTGGTTTGGAGCCCGGTCCGGTGGTTTGAAATTGGATTTGACCCCTGGCTTTTGCGGAGGGTAGTTGGACTATGCCCAGTGCTCGCGTTTTCGGGATTTTTTCGGGAATTCGCCCTGTGTGCTTTCATGTACCTTTGTGATTGCCATTTGCTTTTTTCGGGGTTGGCTGGAAAGGGACTCAGCCTTTAGGTGGCATTTGTTTGGTTTTCGACATACTCGTTGCATCTTTCCGTCCCAACACAAATTCACGGCTGAAGGTCATGGCCCCTGGTCAGGCCGCAATGTCTGTACCGGTGGCTCGTTTGCTATGGGTTTCTTTGTAAACACCAAAGGGGTACCCGCAACAAGACACATCCATGACAGGCATGGAGGATGATGGACATGCCTTCCTGCTTTCTCCGTTGCTTTTCAAGTTTGCATGGGATGGTTTCTGCATGTCGTCTTCTTTCTTGGGGGGGAGGTCTTTGTTCTTCTTGCCTTTCGATTGCTTGGCGTGGACGGCAGTGTGTTGGCATGTCCGCATTCTTGGGAAGGATGGCGTATTGTTCAAGCTTCTTGGCAAGGATTGGTGTGGTCCTTTATACGCTGCCTGTTCATAGTGGGATGGTCATGGTTGTGCTGGGACTGAGTAAAAAAACATACCCTCTTGTCTCGTAACAGTAGGCTTGAGTCCCTTTAAACCTCACGCCGCCCGAGGTGCGAAAACCAGGTCGGCAGCTGGTGTCTCTCTACTTCCAGGCTTGGAAGCAAGACACGAAACTGCTGGGGTCGATAGGCCCAGATGAGCTCTGGGGGTAATTCTTTCGGCAGCTTTCAAGGAGGATTCAGTGTTCCAAGGGGGCGTCCAGTTTGGGGGGTTGCTGGTGGCTGTTGGGGATGCCACCTGGGCTTATTTTCTGCACACAGTGGGGAACAAGAGCCTTCTGCCTTCAGAAGCCAAGGAGGACCTGAGAATCGAAAATCAGATACCTTCAGAAAGCTTCGGCAGCAATAAATGACCAAATGGGCCTTAGAGCTCCTCTGATGGAGAGTGAAAGTGACATGTCGGATGTCGAGTCATGGAAGTCGGCAAGGGCTTGCCCCCGCGATTTTTTTGCGGATCCCCCCTTCGTGGTGCAATTGGGAAAGAACAACCGAAACAAGAACCCAAGCAAAAAGCAACAACGACACCTCGCAGCTGTCGGCGATCTTTTGTTTTTGCCATCCCGAAGCTTCCGGCCGCTCTTCGCCGTTTTTCCAGGGCTACCTTCCCCATTCTTTCCAGGGATCCTTCTGTCCAGGCAACCATCAAGAACCCAGGGAAACAGATCCGGTTTTGAAAAGAACGTTTAAAAGAATGGATGGAATCAAACCCCAGAGGTGTCCTTTCAGTCCCTTGTGGCGCTTCGACCGCTTTTCTCGCGGTCAGGGCCTCTGCGGCACGAAGCCGACGCCGAAGCCTTGCGAAGCCATGCTGGCACTGGGCTTCGACGCGCTGAAGCTGGAGGCGGATCATCCGCCACCGGGCTGGGGCGGACCCAGCGAAAGGGCGCCCGAGCTCGCAGCCGTTTCTTTTGGTTGGGAGGGTTCGGGACCCTAAAATCGACTACAGAAAAAGGAAGCGGTACCCTGATTCAAAGCTCTCTACAGGAGGACGTAGGGGTGGTTGTATTCTCGAGGGCGGCGAACTTTTTCAGTTGGAGCCTCTGCCCGACATTAGGGGACCCAGGTTTTCAGTTTGGTTTCCATTTAGAGCCATCCAAAAAGACTTTTTGGTGGTTTTAAAGGGAAAGCCAAAAGGAAAGCCGGAATCTATTTTGGGGTTCCGGCCCGGTTTCTCATTGAACTTGGAACCTCAAGAAGTGCTTGGACGTGACTCGGGGGCCCTTTGATGTCTGTCCGCGGTGCACCGATGTCTGTCCGAAGTGTCCACGACCCATGAAAAAAGAACAAGGCACCACATGGGTGTGTCTTCCTTAAGTTTGGACCCTCACAATGGCCAGGGTTTCCATTGGGTTTTCCTTTACCATAAGCCCAGGTGAGCACCTAGATGAAGATTAGTAAGGGACAATCCCAGCCATAGTTGCGGATGTCCGCCGTCGAATTTCCTTACACGGTTCTGGGTCAACCATTTTAATACCGGGTTTTGATTGTGACTCAGGTGATATCTCCAAGAGCCCCAGAACTGTCGGGAACCACAGAAAAAGCCTCCTGCTCACCCCAACGCTGATTTCTGGGCCGATCGATGCCCACAGATCAAACACTCCAGCGGCGGGCGCACATTGGTTCCTTTCTTGTTCGACTGTGGATGGTCGCGAAATTTGTTCCATTTCGCACCACCAAGGAGATCCTGGTTTCTGATGGATCCCCCGTAAATACCAACAAACAATTGTTTTCTCTCGGATCCACAATATCATCCTGTAGTTGAAATACACGTGCGCCGGAGAGGGCGTGCCTCTCATGTGGGTTCAGTCCATGCACTGGAGCAGGATTTGGCGAGCATGGCTTTAGTGCACAGCGGGCGCACCGGAAATTGAAATTAACGTAAAACATGAACCAAATCTAGGATTCCGTTGGTCCTCGCTTGGGAAGGAGAGAAGGATAATTTGGTT